TCGTTGCACAAGATATCTAGATAAAAGTCACGTTTTCTTTGATAAGAAGATCAACCAATTTCAATGAATAAAGTAGTTTTAAATGATCCAATTTGTTCTTACTTTAGATCTTTGATAGTTTATATTATGTTTTTATCAGTTAAAATGGAATGTTGTATTTATATATATTATTTTTTTATTTTTTTATTTCTCTCAAAATTGTCATTATTTATACATGATTAATATTAACATATATATAATAAATAAATAAAAAGTAAAAAATAATACATGATGCGGGTTGCCATATTTTTCTGTCTAATAATATTTTCAAGGAAGACAAATTATCATCAACTCTTGTTACAAATTGATGCTGACTACCATCCGACATTTCAATGAATATAAATTTTATTTTTAATTAATTATGACAAAAACATTTCATCAGGCATCATTTAATCATGGCATCATCAATGACTCATTTTTGACATTTAACTTTTAGTAATATAATAATATAATAGCAATCTGAAAATTTAATAAAAAAAGTTTATGGTAATTATTATCTCATATTTACATTTTGATATTTTAAGTTACAAAAATCTAATTAATTTAAACAAAATTAATTAGTGTAAGGAAAAAAAGAAAATTTAGGCGTTATGAAAATGATTGCGTTGCATAAGAGTATTAACTTGACTTTTAATGTTAGTGTTAAGTTAATATTAATAGCTCTCAAAAATTTTTAATGGTGCGAAGATTTATTCTATAATGGACCATTTGGTTTAGTATTATAATTAGGAAAAATGTTTGTTATAGAGAGAATCCGTTATAGACGGAATAATTTACATATTAATATTAATATAGGACTTAAATTGGGCTTAAATTCTCAGTACATTATAGAACAAAATCCATTACTATTATTATCACATCATCATTTTCATTATCATCATTATCTTTCAGCTCAATTGGTGTTGTCAAAAAATTTTAACATTTTTAAAGGCACCTTTTTGTAAAATCCATACTATGAATGTATTCCAAATCTTTGTAGTGTCATCAATTAATTTTTGTAGAGCATTATTTTTAATTGGTGAAATAGGGGATTAATGAATTAATTTTTATTAGCAATACTTTTGTTTTAAGAATCAAATTTTATTATTTTTTGTACCATAATGATGAAAAATAACAATGCCAGAAAATTTTTTTTTTTAATATCGTTATTAAATATTGCAAAGTTATTTTTACAGTGGGTCAGATTCAAGTTTTTTATATACATGTTCATTAATTAGTAGCCATATTGGCTCTATCATCACGAATTTTTACTAAATAATGATATGGCTAAATAAATAATAACGATATTACGAATTAATCAATAATTTTCAGTTAAACTAGTTACTGAAGATTTTTATAATTAAAAATTTTTTGCATGAGCTTAAATTAGATGGAAAAGATATACTGTGTATATAAATATGTAATGTATAAATAAATAAAATACTTGAAAAAAAAAATTATAATAATCAAGTAAATCTAAATATTCATATCCATTAGATGGGAAGCTATAATGATGATAATTTATAACATAGTAATGTTAATGTTGATATTGATATTGAATTTTAAAATTGATAATCAAATAATTAATAATAATTACCATCATTATTACCAATAATCGTTACTTTATTGGAATTCACAGGTTGGGGAAGGTTTGTAAAATTTAATAATCTGCTAGTATAAACTGCATTTGGGTGAATTACTGTAGTAATTGTTGAAGGATCAAATTTTATTTCATCCATTTCATGAAACATTTTTTTAATTGATTCATATTTATCATTTTCATCCAAATCATATTGACATGAATCTCTCCAAATACTAATAATCTTATGAATTTCTTTAGCAGTTGGACGTTTATCTGGATCAGCATCCATGCATTTGAATGCTAATTCAATATAGAATTTTGGTGTATTGTTTGAGAATCCAGGTCTTGCACCATTACATATTTTTACTGCAAGATATTCATCATCTGCCAAATTATTAAATGGTTGTTGACCAGTTGATACTACAGACATCAGAATTCCAAAACTGTATATATCTGATGCTTTTGTATATGGTTTCTCTTTTAAAACTTCTGGTGCAATATATGGTAGTACTCCACATATATTTTAGGATCCTACTTTCTACCCGCCCCATTCTTTCTTTAGTGGAAATTTGTTCTTTGTCAGGTTTAGTTTTTGTGATGAATGGAAGGTCTTTGAAGTCTGCTTTGCGTGCTATTTCCGATTTTGCCACTTTATGCATTAGACCCCTTTTAGAGAAGGTTCATGTTGAAATTAGCTAAACATTTCAGAAAATTGAACAAAATAAACGCTTTCAAAAGCTTACCAAGGATTAATTCTCGGTTGTCCAAAAAACAACATATAAATTCCACCAATCAATCCTAATTCAAAATTGATTAGATATATTCAATCAAGAAGCACCTATCAGATATTTAATATTGCCTTTTTAACTTACCAACAGCACCACCAGCCACCCCCAAAGCCCCAAGAACCGTATATGAACTTATGAGCAGGACAAAGAAAAAAATAGAGATATAATAAAATGTTACAGAAACCAAAATTTCAAATTTTGAAATGAGTTGTCTCATTTACCGTTTTTCAGATTGCACCTCGTGGAGAAAACTTCCCGGAGCAATATTAAAGTGACCTGTAAAGGGGAAGCTGTCGTTTGGATGCATTTGAAAGTATTTTGTCACAGTGGTAAAGAAGGATGTATTATTGTAATTAGGAGGTAGGCCGAGGATTGTGGATACGTCTTCAGGTAAAGTAGACAATGTGGTTTTCTTAAAGTATACCTGAATATTGGTGTAGATTAAATTTAGTGATAATCATCCATGGAAAGATAATTAGCGAATTAAAATAACTGACCAGAGCTGACACATTTTGGATGCCCGCGAACGTATTCATTTGTTCATCTAATCGTTTTTTTACTGGATTTGTCGGTGATAAGTCCTTGAACCCTGTTAAAACATAATTAATGATTACATATTGTATCAGTAAAATCATAAAATATTTCTTGACACAGAAGGTAAAGTACATTAATCACCTTTATCTGATATTCGGCCTGTGATAGTTGCTACAGATAAAAAATGCTCGACAACGGCGGAAATGTTAAGGATTTTGAAATAAAAGTCAATGCTCTTTACCGACAATTCTCCGGGGAGTCTTTTTGAGTCGCTGAAAAAGTAACTATCATCAGCCTTAAGAGTATAGCAATACTTATCCCCATCCTCCTTTGTTATGATTTTTTCAGATTCAAATATTCTACTTTCCGAGCTACAACCATCAGTAGTTTTGTTATTACTCCAATTGAAAATACATTTAGATATTTCGATATCGCTGTTATCGCCACAGAGTTCAATTTCTTTATGAGAATATGAATATAAATAAAAAATCCGTTAGATTGAAATTTTTTTGGAATTTTAACACCTCGCTCACTAACACACCAGGAATGCTGATTTTGTCCAAATACTCATAAGATATTTGTATTAACGGTTTATCAATGACAATTCGATATGCAAGAAATGCCAAGTAGCCTATATAGAGAAGAATTACTGTAATAGCTGTCCCCCATCTTAAACATTGAAACCTCTTTGATTCCGGGAACTGTGAATTAATTAATTATATATAAAGGTGAGTTTTTAAATAAGTATTTTTCATAGAATATA